GGGCCAGGGCCCGCCCCTCAGCGCGGGTTACCCGCAGCCGGGCTCTCCCAGCGCCCCTCGCAAGGCTGGCGGGGCGGCACCGCCTGCCCTCAGGCGCCCGCAGGTAGCTCCATCCTCACTCGGCCACTGCCGCCGCCGCCGCCATCTTCCCGGCGCCCCGCGAGCGCGGAGGGGACGGCGGCGCCGCACGGCACGAGGGCTATGGCGGCGGGAAGGGACCGGGAAGCGGCTGGGGCCGTTCGCCGCGCCAGCTCCCGCCGCTGGCACGGCCGGGTCGGAACGACGCGAACTGATCGCCGCCTTCCTCCGCGAGCCTCCCCCACCGCGCCGAGCGCCGTCACCGGCACCGTGACGCAGGGCGGAAGTGGCGTCTCGGAGCGGAGGAGGCGGGGGCGGAAGCGGTCGCGGGAGGCGCGCCGGGGGGCGGCGGCGGCGGCGGCGGCAGCTGAGAGGAAGTGGCTAGCGGGCGGCCGCGCTTTGGCGGGACGGCAGGGCGGCTAGCGCCGCAGCGGTGTGGGGCTGGGCGCCGGGGCTGGTAGGTGGGCTGCCTTAGGGTGAGGTGGGAGGAAGGCTTCCGGTTCCACCGCGCTGCTCTGCCGGGATCTGTGCGCGTTGTGAGCGCGGTTAAATCGCGGCAGTTCTCCGAGGAGCGAAAGCTCGGCAGCTCTACGACCGGCTCTCCCGCTGCTGGGAGTTGGCCGCGAAGCCTGCCCTCGTCTGACGTTTCTGGGCTGTGCTGATAGTTGTGTGTGATAAACCGAGTGAGCGAGTCGTTCTTTAGCGAGGTTGAACAGAAAACTGCTGTTCTTGTTCTGCCCTCGTAATTACTGATAACCCCTTTAGTTCGCAGGCCCTCGTAAGTCTTTCTTAAATTCACGGATAATAGGTTATTATTTTCAAAAGCCATTGGTTGTGGCTTTTTCGTACCTAATTTGGTTTTCCCGGTGCATTCGGGATCAGCGAAGTGCTGAATTAGTTACTGCTGAATCATATTGGAGACTTATATGACACAGCGTGAGCTGCTTGTGTAGGAGGCAGCAACTCCTTCAGTAATGCTTCCGTGTGCTGACATAACCTGAAGTTTTCAGGAGCTTTGTTTTGACTTTTCTGGATTGCTGCAGGATTCATTCGCTTTCATATTTTATTTTATTTTATTTTATTTTATTTTCCAATAGTAAATACATTTACTTAAGTTGTAGCTCAAGCTTTGTGTAAATGTTCAATATTGACTGTAGTGGGATGATGAATCTAAAAAAAAATGCTTCCACATGCAGAATGGAAACTGACTGCACTCCTATGGAGTTGACCAATAACACAGAGTCTGAAGAGGATTCTGATTATAGAGACTTCGAAGAAGCAGATGTGAAAGACATGAGACTAGAAGCTGAAGCTGTAGTGAATGATGTTCTGTTTGCTGTCAGCAACATGTTTGTTTCAAAAACCCTTCCGTGTGCAGAGGATGTGGCATATATAAACGTGGAAACCAGGGAAAGGGGCAGATACTGTGTGGAGCTCACTGACTCAGGACTAAGGGTAAACTACCTTGATTATAATTTCTTAACTGTCTTCGTTTTGAATGATGTTCCTGTTCAGAAGGTACCTAGAAAGCAACTTCATTGATACCAAAACTGCATACGTATCCTCTTGTACTTTTATGAAAGTCAGTTCTATGTGTTCCCCTACAAAGTGGCACTTCTGTTAATGCAAACAAAGGAAGAAGGGAAGTTGGTTGGAAAATAGGCATTTATTTGAGACACTTGCAAAATAATGAGGGCTGAAGCAGTTAATGGACAAGTTTATTATGAGCACATCAGTCTTCACAGGTGCCTAGAAAAATTAGTAACATAGTGTGTATACAAATCCATTCTGGACCATTCATATTATTTCTGCAAATGTGTAGAAGTAAGAAGGTGATAGCGATGGATTTTACTGCTATTAGAAGCTTGAGAAAAAAGCATTTGAAACAGTCTAAATACTGTGTTACCAGTAAGACCCCCAGTAGAAAGCATAGACAGAAATTTAAATCAATGTTGTTGTTTTTTTTTTTATACTACTGTACAACTGGCAAAGCTAAACTTTGTGATACCTGTTTCTCATTGCAACATGATCCTAATCACAAAAAAATAACCAGTGATTTCTTTGTTGCAGGTAGTAGCTTATGATTTTGATCAGACTGATGACAGTTTGCAAAACCCATACCATGAAACTGTCTACTCCTTATTGGACACACTCAGCCCTGCGTATCGGGAGGTGTTTGGAAATGCATTACTACAAAGACTGGAAGCTTTGAAGAGAGATAGTCAATCATGATGTGCTCTCAAGGAAGATTTAAGACTAGAAGGAATTATTTGTATGAGGCTCTGAGATCTTTGTTACAAATGCAGCTGCAAACATCTAAAGATTCATTTCTTGTATTGATATCTAATACATACTAGAACTGTTCTATAACTGTTGCTGCAGAAGATTTATGCATATCACAGTGCTATCCACTTGGATAGACTGTAAATACAACTAATCAATGTTTTCTTTTTGTTGTAGGTGAGCTTATAACTTCTTCCAAAAATGTTCAAAAATATTTGGTCTCTGTTCAAAGTGTTACTATCGAAAGGTTTTGAAAAAATGTAGAGAATTAATGTTATATAGGCAATTAATAATCATTTTTTGTGCTTACTGGTTATTGCCATATCTGATTTTTAACATGGAAGTTAACCACCTAATTACTGTCTGTTAATTGAAATTAATGAAATAAAACAAGCAGTTAACTTCAGTTTCAAACTGAGAAATAGACTTTCAAACCAATTTGCTATGCATAAATCTGAAAGTTCTGAGTTATGATAACAAGAAAGCTCTTGAGCAGTTGAGTGTTGCTTATATAATGACAGTATCTGAGCTAAAAGGTACTTGATCCATCCTTGTCTACAGCGAGCAACAAACTCCAAAGAGTGAATGATCTACGTTACTATATGAATGTATTGTCTGAATTGCAAATGAGCTAAGCACAGAAGTAAGTTAGGATATAACAGGCTACATTCCTTAAGGATGATGTATGTATGCTATACTGTAACTTTTTGGGAGATTTGGAAGACATTTTATCTTGTTTACTATTCTGAATGTGTGTTTACATAATGTGCAGGATATATATACCCAGACTATTTTTGCTTCAGCCTTTACTTTCTACAACACAGTAATTTGGTACTCCTGTTTTTTCTTCCTCAATTTTACAGTATCCTCTCCTAATGAATACAAGTATGCATTGTAATACTGATTGCATTGTATTGGTTTGAAACCAAAGGTATGAAATTTATTAGGACTAACACAAGCTGGAAGACATAACTTGTATTTTCTACTTAAAAACTGGTACAAATCTCTTTATAACATATTGCTTTAACTTTTCAAGTATGTATTGAGTGATAGACTTTTTTTTAAAAAAAAAATACTGTTACTTAGAAATACTAGAACTTCTGAACTAGCATTCTATGACCATGATACTTCTTGTATTCTTGTATTATTCAATATTTGTGCATCTTGATTTATTCTGTTATGCTGTTGTGCTAAATATATCTGTATCTTTATTGGAGTTTAAGAACATATCAGTCCTTGTGAACTCACAAATTCTATTGACTTCAGTAGAGCTGTATTGACTTACACCTGTTAAGGAGTAGCAGTGTTAATTGGAGAAGGCAAACATTGGATTTTTTAGAATAGTTTTGGGGTAATGATGTTATAACTGTGACTGGTGAGATACCACAGTCATTTTTTCAATTTTCTACAGCTTAATTTGATGTTTGTTTAATTATCTTGTTAGGTTGATATTCCTGATGTTAATCTTTTGATCATGGGTAAGGACCTATGCTGTAAAATTTGTTCATAGGCTCTGTTTTGCACACAGGTCTGTGGCATGTGGTTAGTCCTCTGTGAGGAGAATGTACTTTACCAAATTTATATTTGAATATTTTCCCTTGCAGTTAATTTCCTTGTTCAATTTAAATGACTAAAGCATTAAATAAATGCACCAGTGTGTTAGTGATTTTTGTGGGGAGGGAAGAGAGGGGAGTGAACAACCAAAATGATTATTTCCATAGACACATCTTAAGTACCAGATTATTAACAAGTATTTCAAAAGTACCTTTGACTGTAAATTTATCTCCAATGAAACTGTCCTGGAAGGACAGAGCAGACAACTGTAAAGAGGTTCTTGGAAAGGAAGCATGAGAATGACAAGTGGAAAAAATGCCAGAATTAATGTTGCGCTGCCAGGTTTTTTTTCCTTAGACAACTTTAAAATGCTTTGTCATTACAAGTGCTTATTATAAAGCTAAGCTGAGAACTACTTACATAGCATACAGTTTGTAGATGTTTCTGGAAGAGTTCTCTGCTGCTTCTTAGAAGGTAACGGGGTATTAAAAATTAGAGAGCAACATCATTCCACCATGTTTGGCTGTGGGCTTAAGGAGGAAATGCATTCTTTACATTCGGAATTTGCACCTACACAGAGCTGCTTTGAAGCACTGACAGTAGATAATTTCAGTTGCTCTCCTTAAAACAATTCGTTCGTATTTTCTGAAGCCAAATGAGCTCTTGGCCTAATGCAGCTGTAAATCTGTGAACTGCACTTTTCTGGAAGTTTTAACATGATGTGTTACTACAAGAATCATCACCACGGGGGATGCGGTTGGACTCAATCTCTAGAGGTCACTTCTAACCACTACAATTTTGTGATTCTGTGATCAAAGCATGGTATTGCTTAGTACGAGTTACCAGTGACAGACCACCTCAAAGCCTTGCTGCTGGAACAGAAATCATATAACAGAGCCTTACAACGTTTTTTTTTTTTCCTCTCAGCAGTATTAAATCTTGCCCTAACAGCTGTCAGGAAGTCGGGAATAACGTCCCCCTGCAGAAGGCCCTCGAGCAGGAGGTGATGGCAAGGCCGAGGCCGCGCAGCCTCCGCCCAGCGCTTCCCGCCCTTAGCAACGGGTCGCGTCGCCGCCGCAGTTGCGGCCATGGCGGCGGGCGCTGCGCGGAGCCGGCGGATCTTCCTCAACCACCTCGATTCCTACTGCGGCCGCAGCATCGGCGAGGTTGGGGAACGGGCCCGCGGCGGACAGTGCAGCGGGGACCCGGGGGGGGGAGGGGGGGAGACAAACGTGCGTCTTGTATGTTTCAGTATTTATCCAGTTGTGTTGTTGGAGCGTCGCTAGAAAGTGTGGAAGGAGAGGAGGAGGAAAGTGAGAATCGCTCCGAGGCTGAAGTTTCCAGGAGGCCAAAGGAGGGACTCTACCAAATAGTGGGGACTCTCTCTAAGCCAGAGAGTATTAAACCATGCTTTGCAGAGGAAATATATGCAGTAAGTCATAACCTTATTTCAGATCATTGTTAGACAGCATTATAAATATTGCAAGGCACGTAAATGATCCTCATTAATGAAGTGTTCTCCCATTGTTGCACGAAATTTTACACGTTTATTCCTCTGCACCCTGTCGTCTCCTCCCTGCTTGTTCACATATAACAAATGTTAAAACAAAGGAATCCAGTCTTAAAAAAAGATTATTTTTTAAATAAAACAACAGTTCTGGACATGTTGTCTACCCTGATCACCCACAGATCTGTTTTCTTTTTCCCTCAAAACACAATGTTGTCTCTCTCATATCTTCTATCACCTTCTAAACGTAGTAGTACTGTGAACAAAGCATCTTCCCTCCTTAACACTTCACTGGCATAACAGCTGTCACTAGCAGCTAACTGTTCCAAATACGTACTTTTTGCATGTACATCCAAAGTTCAGTTAACTGAAGGAGGCTTGATTATTATTTTCTGAAACCAAAATTGTTTGTAACCATCAAGTTGATTATCCAGAATCTCTTCAAAAATATGAGCCTTTTGATCTGAAATTCTATTAATAAAGACAGATGATCTTTATTTTAATAAAAAGTAAATATGGGTAACTATGTAATCTCAAGCACTGCTGTCATACAGAATGTTTGTTGGACTTGTTTGAGTGATGCACACAATCTGTGTTAGCAAAAAGATGGGATGTTGTTTTGTAAGGAAACTGATTTTTCTGTGTTTCCATTTTGCCACCCAGTTCTTGTTCAAAATGACTATAGAAGCCATAGATATTTTTGTGATATTAACAAGTATACTGAAAATACAAATCCTAAAATTGCATGTCCTTTTGAACTATGTAAATGTGAATTGTAAATCAGAAGTTTCAGCAATTAATTTGCATTCAATTGCTTTACTTTTCACTGACAAATAGTTTGACATGAGTACAGCAAGAAAACTACATTCTACCATTTCTAAATTTGAAAAGGAATTTTGTATATTAGGTTTTTTCCTTCTTTTTTTTTTTTTTTTAATAAACAATTTTTAACTATTCTTTTCCCTCAGGTCTCCTCTCGGAAAGAGCTCTTAAGCTATTTGCTTGAATGTGACATTATTTTATATAATATCACTGAGGATGCAAACCAAATCAAGGAAGCAACATGGGCTGCTTCTGGTTAGTACAGCTATCAACTGAACAGAAAACTGTTTTCTATACAGCCACTAAAGTTTACTATAGATGTCTAACAAATTAACCTGTAAGTTATAGTTCACTATAATATAAAACTGGATTCCTTGCTGGGGAAATGATGCATGAATTGTTCAATTAATTCATGTGCATTCCATGGCCCATCGCTCCTTGGTCATAGGATGGTCCAACACTTGAAGCAACATAGCTGTGTGGACAGCTATTTCAAAAAAAAATATCTACTGTCATCTTATCCATTTGTATTTGCTCACAGGAGAAAATTTTTACCCACCTTCAATGTTTCTATGTTTTATCTAATTATCTTAATTGTTGGAGAGCGTTCAGAGAAGGGCCACGAAGATGATCAGAGGTCTGGAGCACCTCACCTACGAAGACAGGCTGAGGGAGCTGGGCTTGTTCAGCCTAGGGAAAAGAAGGCTACAAGGACACCTCATTGCAGCCTTCCAGTATGTAAAAGATTATAAAATAGGAGGGGAATCAGCTTTTTACTTGGATAGATAGGGATAGGACAAGGGGGAATGGTTTTAAACTCAATGCGTGAAGGTTTAGATTGGATGTTAGGGGGAAGTTTTTCACAGAGAGAGTGGTGAGGTAATGGAACAGGCTGCCCAGAGAGGCTGTAGATGCTCTGTCCCTGGAGGTGTTCAAGATCAGGTTGGATGGGGACCCGGGCAACCTGGCCTAGTACCAGATCTGGAGGTCCATGGCAGGGGGGTTGGAACTGGATGATCCTTGGGGTCCCTGTCAACCTAAGCCATTATATGATTCTATAATCTTAACAGATTTTTACTTAAATCTCTTATTAAAAATATCATTAACAGTTTTTCTACACCTTTCTCCTAATGGTCGTAACCAAATTCTAATGGTATCTGGAATCATTTTACGGTGACAGTGCAATATTGCTCTTCATCTTAAGTTTAGTTAAACTAAGCTCTTCTTTCCTGCTTACTGTTTAATAGTTTTGCTCTGAATTAAAGAAACTTCCTTGAATTTTGTAGACAAGCTGTTTCAGTTACAACAAGCACACTTCTTTCAGTATCTCAGCTGTCAATAAAGATGAAGCATTTTTCTAGTATACATTGTTTCTTTGTTTCTTTTTCTGTGATATGCAGCTCTGTATAGATTATGTTAATTACTGACCACACGGTTACACATTATTTGCTATTTGCTTTCTTTTTATCATTGGTTCATTTCTATTTACACCAAGCAAAATAAAGGGTATTTACTTCAAAACACTGAACACATAGCACTATAGCATAAATGTATAAATACAGGGCCAAAAGAAAATATAACATTTGTGTAATGTAGTCTAAATAGATTAAATCCTTTGCTTTCATTTAACAGCCCTACGTATGGAAATAGAGCATTTTGCAGCACCAAAAACGTTCATCCTCATTTCAACAGTAATGAGTTGGGCAAAAAGCAACCCCCCCGACCCAGTAAGTAATATGAGAGAACACTCTTCTCTTACTATTTCCATTTAATGGAAAATAAATGAATAAATATTTCCATTTGATTTATTTGTTAATTTCATTTAAAGTACTGCAGTGTGTACTTCAAAAACACTAACTTCATCTGCTATTATGAAGTATATTTTTTCTTCGTGGACCTTTCACTTCAACACCCATTGGTAAGTGGGGGCTCAACCTGTTAAATCTATTCCACCAAACAGAAAAGCGTAGGCAATGAGATACTATGATGGGCAGACATTAGGACTGCTTGGACATACTCTCTCAAGTATCAGCTTTAGAAGTTCTAAGCATTTCAAATGAAAGAAAAAGAGATTTTAAAAAATATTTTAATAACTTCTTTTAAAACATATAGGCTTTTAAAAAATATTCAGTTGTACGACTTGTATAACAGTTGCATTTTTTTTCTTCCTAGGAGGATTCCGAGATTCCTTTTACTGAGGAAGATTATCGTAAAAGAAAACCTCATCCTAACTTTATGGATCATATAAATGCTGAAAAACTTGTTCTCAAACTTGGAAAAAACGTACGTTAAGACCTTTTCTGTTTTTGTTTGTTTGTTTGTTTGTTTTGTTTGTTTGTTTTTAAATAAGCTTCTTTACAAAAGAAAAACAAAAACATACTTAAGTCATCCTATTGTGTTATCTTAATAATGAAAGTTATCAAGTATTTGATTAAATTTGTAGTGCATTATACCTTTGATAAATGTCAATATCATCCCTTAGTAATAAAAAGCTAAGCATAGAAAAGGCCGTGTTTTAGAATTAATAGATAATAGTTATATTTAAATTACAGAATTCATAATACAGATCCCAATGTTATTTTTCAATATCTACTGAGTAAATCATGCTTATCTCAATTTAAAAAAAAGAACAATGCTATTATGTTGGTTGTACAAGAGAGAATTAAAACTGGAGCTTGTGTGGGGAAATCTCAAGCGTAAAAAAGATTTTTACCTTTTTCTTTGTAGCAAAAAGATACGGCATGCAGCTTTTCTGAGAGAAGCTGCTGATTCAGAGGTACTGATGAGTTCAGAATCCCAAAAAAACATCTGCTACCACAGATAGCTCATCTCCCAGCTCTGTTCTCAATGGCAGCCCAGATCCTGAACCCATCAATTTAAAGCCATTCCCACTTGAAACCTCTTATTAGAATGAAACTAACCATCAAACAGAACAGCCAAGCCCAGGACTGATTATAATAGCTGAAATGTGACATCTAGTGGCTTCAATGAAAATTACATGGTAACTTGAACATCTTTTAACAGTGACTGAATATGTTGTGTGTAACTGGAGCTTACCAAATCATCGCTTCATTTTATTCATGACATATATCCAACTGATCTCAAGTAGTAAATTCAGATGTGTGACTCGTGCCACTATATAGTTTTTGTTTGTTTTTGTAAGGAATTGGATCTGTTTTACTTCTTTGTATTTCTCTGGGTGATGAACTGTGGTTTGTGTTCCATAAGTGGTGAGGAACCTACTGCGAGGTCAGTGATAAAATGGCCTACTGCCTCCCTGCTCTTTGGGTAGATGAGAAATGGCCTTTCCTATGCTTTCACAAGGGTCAAGTTTTTCCTGTTGGGAAACAGAAATTAGTGTACCTTCTCCTGGAGCACATGTGCAGTCTGTCCAGAACAAACCTGGGAGCAGCTGTTCTTAGGTTATAAATAGTTTCTATCTACTCAAGAAAAGTTAGTGGAGGAGAACTTGTGTTATCTATAATAACTTCTGATTGTAATATTACATGTGATTAATAACAAGTTGCTGTGTTCAATTGAGTTGAAATAGTTTTTATTACAAAGATTTATTTTGTAGCAGAAATATACAAATGCATTACACAAATACAGTATAGTGATATATACCTGGCATCTCTGTAGATGATGCTTTAATTATACAATCCAATACTGGCTAACAGACTTCATTGTTTTATATTTCTGAAATAATATGAAGAGTGTAGCAAATTTTTTTTTTTCCACATGCAAAAATCTAGATGTTTATTCTCTCTGTTGGTAAGTGCAAGTTTGAGATCCTTAACTAGAATTAAACTAGAATTATTTGACAATCTTGTTTCAACTTAAAAATGTCTAAGTGGCCCTTAAAAGACTTGCTAGAAATTTCTCTCCTTAGGGTGATTTAAATATTGTTTCTTCTGTGTATGTAACCATTCTCACTAGTGATCAAAGCAGTATCATTTTACATAAACAGTCAACCAGAACAGGCAAATTTATGACCAGGTTGGTGTTTATGGTCAGCAAAAAGATACAAGGGCTGACCATGATGTATGGGTAGGAAAACACTTTATAGTCTACTGATTTTGTTTAAGATTTTATATCACAATTAAAGCAAAACAATTACAGAAGTATTGGACTCCCATTTTCCAGTTCTGTAGGCAATCAAATACAAACAATACAATTAGGAAAGAAAGCTTCCACAAATTTTAGTTATATCTCTTGGAAAAAGAAAATGGAAGTGAATTTTACTCTGATCACTTCACTGATGTACCTAACTTCCAATTCCTTAACTTTTAAGAATCTTTTATAATTTCAGCTCAAATGCAAATACACCAATTCTGAGCTTTTTTGTTTGTTTGTTTTTTAAGGAAATATTACCAGTAAGACTAACAAAACTAGCAGCTATGCAGTGATTGATCTAGCTCCAAATTTTAAAGAGAGATGATTTAAATATTTTCTACATTTGATATACAAGTTCTCAAGTTTTCAAGAGCTAGTATTCCATTAGCAATACCATCTTACTATAAAACTCTTGTTAATTTTACTTCACAGAACAAACAAGCATTTTCAACTTATGTTGTTGCTTCAGGAATTCAGTATGGAGCTGAGGAAGGAGTCTTACACTACTTTTTTAAGGTAGATATCCAAGTATGTTTGAAGGTTTGTCTAATATTTAAGGGCAATTTGCATTGGAATTAAATATATGTATAATAGTTTTGATATCATAGGCTTAATGTTCCTGCGAATGGAATTTATTACTTGATCCCTTTGATAAGAGTTTTAGCTATAATTAAAGTGATTTCCACTCTTTTGGCTGTGTATGTTTTTTAGCTTCTCCATAACTTTTTAACAGTATCTCCATTTGCACTCTGCAATCAGAACATATCCATCTCATTGATACAATGAGAAAAAAAGTCTTTTCATTGTTCTTATTTTTATTACAAAGTATTAAAAATAACATGTGGCAGAACCAAAGAGTTTTCTTTAAAAAAGTTTGGTTTTTTTTGTAGGCTGCTACTATTTCTCAGAGTTGTTTACTGTGGTCCAGTAATCGTTCCATAAATTGAATTTTAAAATCTTGAATACGTAAATGTGCCAGTACACAAATACCTTTTCCTTCTAACTTCATTATCCACTTTTATTTTCAGATAGGTTGGCTTAGCGAGACTAATGCAATACCTGTTTTTGGAAATGGAAACAATTATATTCCAACTATTCATGTTCATGATTTAGCAGGGTAAGTAAATAATGTTTCACTTGCACAGTCATTGATAACAAACTAGGTAACAATTCCAAAGCTATTAGAAGAGCACCAAGACTTTTAAATTGGACTTAAGAAAGCTATTTGTCTCTTCTTTTTGAGGACACAGAGAGTTCAGTTTCTTCAATCCTAGATGTGCCTTCTTGAAACCTTACATATGTGTTGCACAGATGCTATGCAGTTAAGAGATTTCTTGCTGCACTGTACATAAAGCACAGTATCAGTTAATGGGCACAGAACTGAAAATGGATCATGGACTCTACAGCTTAAGTTACTATTTTGTAAAGGTGTTGCTTTTTATCCTTTGATCTTCCTTACAAAAAAAATTCTTATCTGTGCTTCTTTATTGAGGAAAATATACATGAAAACAACTTTGTATTAGGACTGCTTCTGAAACACATCTCACAAGGAAAGGCCAATATGCTTCTCAAACTACTAGCCTTAACTGTACCTCCTACATTCTAGGGTGTTACAAAACATAGCAGACCACAGGCCAAGGTTTCACTACATACTTGCAGTAGATGAGTCTATGCACACTTTTCAAGAATTAATAAAGGTAAGGAATTTTTGTTTTTCTGGTACCTACAGTATTATTAAAACTAGACATTTTTATATAAGTAGAAGTCTCTAGGCTTCCCCAAATTATCTTGTGTAATAAGAAATAAAATAGTTTTGGAGTCCTCTAAGGGTTCTGTTCTTTAAACAAAATGTATTGCTTGGGGCAGATGCTACAGAATTAACTTTAACAGCTGCTCTGCTCACAAAGAAGCAAAATTTCTTCGGACAGATTCTTACTGACACCAGGCACAGTATTTGTAGATAGACCAATAATCACACACAGAAAGAAGAGCTGAACTCACTCAACTGGTAAAGGGACTCTCTCACCCTGCACTATTCCTGAGGAAGCAGCCTAAATCCCAAAGATTTAGCTCTTCCAGCAGTGGCTGGCTCTTAAATGAGCCCAGCGTGGCTCCACTTTGGGTCCACCCTTCTGGTCACATGAAGGAACACAGGTGCAAACAATTTGCCTGTGCTCCCTAGGCAAGACACACCCTTTCACCATGTGCTCAATCACCAGTTCAAGCTGTGAAGCATCTTAATGCTTAAAGACATCTGTGTATGACTTGCTAGGGGTTCTTTGTTAAACTGAAGTAGGTATAGGGAATGCTGTAGAATGAATTGATATAGATTCCCCAATGAAAGTTGGGAGGCTCCTTTCATGACTATGTGTTTGTTTACAGAATAGTAAACTGAGGGCAGTTGTAAATTGACAGTTTTAGTGATGGTAAGATGTTGCTAGTATTGTAGAGAGTGTTGCAAAGAGCTATTTTGTCAGGGAACTGTATCAGCTCAGAGGAAGACTGGAAAGGTACTTAGGTGAGCGTTACTTAAATGTATGATAGGTATTTCTAATTCAGGAAGTCTCTGAACTGAAAATAGTTGAAGAGATATTTGGAAAGGATATCACACATGTTTTTCCTATTCTTACTTTCATTTAGGTATCCATTAATTGAAACTCTGAGACAGAATACTAGAATATGTGTAAATTTGATAGCAGTTTTCATGATTTTATGGAATCTAGTGTTTATTTGAAATCTGTTTTTACGTCTGTTTTTTAGTAATTAACATCTATTTAATGATGAACTGGAGATAGCACCATGGAGAGTTGATGGTGTTCCATTGATCTGAAAACATTTCATGACTGTTAACAGAATTAAACATGTAAGGAATCTGAAGTGAAAAAGCTGAGAGATAAAATAGGTCTCATAATTGATCTTAAGCAATAAGAAATCACATAGATTTAAGAGCTTTGGAACACTTATCTGTTTTTGGGTTTGTTGCAAGCACTGAAGAGGAGGCGATATGTAGTGAAAAAGAGCTGTGTAATACTAAACAAAAGTTAAAGCTAGTATAATGTTCTTTGATCAGTAAATCATATCAGTATACTGATTTTTCAGATATATTGTGACGTAAAATAAAAATGATACTTTTTATTTCTAGAATTTTTTTTTTTCCCTAAGAATCTGACTGAATATATGTATTACTATTTTATTTTCTTTACAGTGTATCAGTAAAAATGTTGGACCAGGGAAAATTGAGAAGATTCCACAAGAAAATGCATTCTTAAGTAAAGAGTTAACGGTTAGTTGTTTTTTTGTTGTTGTTTTTTTTTGTTTGTTTGTTTGTTTTTCCTTTTTCTACATAATGGAAGAATTTAAATTTAGGTGTATCGTATCATGAAATACACACACACACATATATATATAATTTCAGTCAAAAAATATAACTCTAAAATATGGCTAGAAATAAGCATAGAAAATAGGCAAATTAAAGTCTAGTTTTCAAACAAACATGTTTTTTAAAGAATTATAGCTTGATCTAGAAAAGCAGTGAAGCAATGATGTTGGTGGTGTACTAGAGCATGCTGATGAAACCTAGAGAAAATAATAATTTGTAAATAAAATGAAGTACTGTGGACATGATGAACACAGTATATGTAAATTAAGATGTCTTCATCTGCTTATCTGGAATAAACTGTTCATATGTGAAATAAATACATTAGAACCGTGCTATTTTTAAGATTGCCCTTAATGAATTTCTGAAATAATGTTTTTTTCCTGTGGACAGTATGAGACCTCTGAGTAGTATCAAAAAATTGCTTAGTGGTGCGTGTTCTGACATTACTTAAATATATATGGAAAATATATATTCAAAAAAACCACCTTAAAATGTTTGCACGCAAACCTGCTTTCCCTGTGCTTAAATTCTTTCTGTTCTCTACCCTCCATTCTAGTTTCTAGTTGAAGCCAACAGTATTCTTTTAAGGCGCAGAGCTTACATATGTTAAGTAAATGTTGTTTTGCTCCTTCAGCAAACACATGTGGATATGTTGCTTGTGAACCTGCGGATGGAAGCTATGTTTTTGAAAGAGGCTTTCAACATAAAGTGGGTTGCTCAAACAGGGTTGGTGGAGAACATTGAACAGATTGTTGAAGAGTACAAGCAAAGTCGAGGACTTCTGGTAATGGTTTGGTATATGCTATTCTCAAGTGATCGTTTTCTTTTTTTTTTCTTTTTTTTTTTTTTTCAAACAGAAATGGTTATACAAATATAAGCTTTCATTTCTTTTAATTTCTTTTAGTAAGAATACATAAAAGACTGATAGTGACATAAAATAAGTGAAGATAATTGGAAATTGAATTGAATGCTAATTAAAATGATCATCTAATATTTCCTATTACATCTAAAGTTTAAAGCTTGTAGATGAAAGTAAACTTTCTGATAGAAAGCTACTTGTTTGAAACTAGTTTGCAATATACATTGTTTTAGATATATTGGCTTCAAGAAAGCAGTAACTGTGGTGTTGTTTTTGTTTTTTATTTTAGAGTCAATAATTAGATGACCATTTTGTGTTCCTTCATTATACTTAGCCAGGATATTAACTGCCATGTAGCTTTCCTTTTACCCTGCTCCACTGTATAATATAATGAACAATTTTTCTGTTTCCTCTGTTAGCTAAATACTTTGAGCTTCTGTATTCAAATATAAGGAAGTAGTTATTCAAAAGTTTAAATACTGTAAACTACCAGATCTTCTGGATTAGGATGTGAAATTAAAGATGTATGATTTTGAGTTATATTTATTGTTATTCTGGATTTGTAATTGTGTTTATCCCATAGGTAACACAGGCTACAACAACAAATTGTTTTTGGATTGTGATGGATCTGAAATTTTTGAGGTCAAATTAACTATGGTGATGACAACAAGTCTATCTCAGATGGGAAATAGTTGTGTTTGTATAATAGAATATCTGCCATCTAATTCTAGAATCCATTGCATTCTATCCAAGGGGTTGTGTTTTGTCTCTTTTTGACTGTTTAACTTCTAGTAGTGCCACTATAAGTTAGTTGGTCTATGAGTCTATTAAATAGAAATGTGCCTTTTTCTCAGTTGCTGACATTGTACTGCTAAATTAACTGTTACTCAAAGGCAGTGGATCTTATAGATGATGCTTATGAAGAAGATACATACTATGAATTAATCTAAAACATATTTTTAGTTTAAATGATTAGTTATTTCCTATTAGCAATAGGGAAAAATTGTTCATTTTATATAAAGAAAAAATCTGTATTGTTTGAATGATGTTACATCTTCATTTTTTTTTTTCCCAGCCTCTAAAAATTTACATTCATGGTCCTCCAGGGGTTGGCAAATCTACCATTGCTGAAGAGATCTGCAAACACTACAAACTACATCATATTAAGATTAAAGATGTGATTTCCGAATCAATTGCAAAACTGGTGTGTGACTTTAAGATGCTTGGCATCATTTGAAATGAACATGAACTCCATAATTTAGTATTTAAGAATGACCAAAGGCAGTAATCATATTCCAACAAAATGTTTTGAGAAATGACAATATACTGATGACTGTTGTCATTACACACTTTCTTGTCTCCTTTTCTGGCCTGAAAAATACATTACTAAAACATTTCAGATTTTAGAATAGAAATATTTTTGACATGCTTATGATTCTTGGGGATGC